TCTCAAACAAAAAGCTAACCCTATAGCATATGATAAATATAAATAATAACAAGATTCTTCAGGCAGTTACATTTTTTCAAAACACAAAGATCCAATCACAAGAAAAATATCAGGTTATTACAAGTCCTACAGAATGAAGGTAGGATCTGTACTTATCAATATAGTAATCTAAGTCATTATTCATATAGTTTTTACATAAATTCCATGTATTAAAAATCAAGAGATAAATGAAAATAGAAATTATAAATGTTGAATTTAATTTCAGTAAAGACAAAAAATAGCAACTAACTTGTCATCTTGCACAGTAAGTTTAATATAAAAGTTTTAAACGTTTATTTTGTTAATGTATTTTTCATTGCATGTAGCCTTTAAAAAGGACTTTAGAAATACCTTGGATGTATTTTATAAATAAACAAGGTAAGAACAAAAACTCTTGAATTTCTGGTGATGGAGTTAGTTCTGCATTAAAGGGGCTCAAGCTGTTAGTAATAAAACAGAAGTTACAAGTAATTCCTTGACAAGAATAAGAAAATGAAATTTTTTAGTAAATGGGAATGTACTGATGATGGTCTCTCATTTCTCCTCCCAGATATGCAAGTGCTATATCTTAATACTTACTAGAGACAAATCTATCTCATAAGTTTAGAACATTAATTTTTCTCCTTTTTGATAATATTCAATGAAAAATAACATTTAGAAAAAACTTTTTCCATGAGGAAGGAATAGTAATATCCACCTGCAAAAGGAAAAAAATACAATTTGATTTAGAATGTTGACTTCTAAATAAATAAATATACTAACTTAGAGATCATGGTTTATGAAAGCATAATTTTGCTAATTCAAATGTGGCTAACCTATGCATGTATCAGTAATGACATTTCCTATAACTCTATAATAACCAAAAGAATATATAAATGATGAAGAATATCTTTAATGTCAAATATGGAATTTAGCCTATGGCTAAGTTTTCAAATCTACTATCACATATTAATCTGTGTGATTTTGAGAGTTTGTATTTGAACATAAGATGCACACCGAATTATTGAAATACTCTTCTTGCTACTTCCTGAATACTCCTCTGAAGTCCTGAGTTGGCTCCAAACTCAATCCATACTCTAAGTAACAGATTTAAGATGCTCAATATTGGAATTATTTGGCATCAGTTTAAAATGAAACCTAAATGAAAAAGTTTAGGAATTTTTTTCCCCAAAGAATATGGAAAAAACAAGTACTTAAAATACACCCATA